AAGCCCTTAGTATTTGAATGGTACTAGGTTCACCAAGCTGCTCTTGCACAGAGAATGTGTAAGGAGACTAGCAATTAGTCTCTTCAACCAAAGAAATGAGAAAAGGAAATCTGGCAGATGTTGGCTACATCTCTTTATAGGAGACGCAGAGAGCAGCTGTTACAGTAAGGATTGCAGGGATTTCTTGAGAAAGTCAGTAGCAGATGTCACCATCTGCTTCTGCCTTCTCTATGAAATAGAGGCAAAAGGGAGACTGAATGCTTGTTAAAAAAAAAGGTAACAACAAAAAACATAAATTCAAAAGATACCCAAACATACTTACAGTGCATGGGGGAACCTCTTACCCCTTTCTCGCTGGCAAACTTGTGATCCAGATGCACAATAAAAGCAAAGAACACTCCCCCATTGTCTTTAAATCACTATTTCTTTTCATTTTAATCTTACTACGTGTACTTTGACAACCTTCAGCCTGCAATCTAACACCTAGCCATTTCCTCCCCGGCTGAAAGAGATCAGAGAAATGAGCAGTTGTATCCTTTCCCTCTGGCTACACAGCAATGGTCTGATGACAACTGCTTTACCAGGGTTGGTATCAGACAAACAAAAATTTCCTACTGAATGATCTACAAAAAAAATGATGTCATGTGTGCAGGCAAAGTATTTATTACTCAGGGGAAAAAAAACCCAACAGAAACCAAACCAAACTTCTGTTGCATTGTGTCAGGAAACATGCTGTACATGTTTGTACATCTTGGCAGATAAAGATCAGATGAGGCAAGCAATGAAGTGGTTAACCAAATCAGAAAGTTATCTTAGACATCCAAATGCACATCTTGTAAACCTGAGAAAACTTCTTACACAGAACTGAGGAGAAAAAAAAGTAAGGGCTTGTCTGGGAAGAAACAAATGACACTGTCAGCAAGTAGTTTGCTTTCTCACTCAGAGAAGGTGGTATTAGTGAGATCCAGAGCCCAACAAAGGAACATGAATCTTTCCAACAGTGTAAAAAAGACTTGGATCGAGCCCCAGCTTTCCTGAAAACTAGACTTACTAATTGCCTCACTCTTCCACTGTCAAAACCATCATCTCACTGAACTGAAATACCTTTCCAATATTGCTATAAGGGCAGATGTTTCCACAGTGGTAATACTGGGAGCCACATTCAACCAACAACAACAACTTGCTGGCCATCACCTCCCCCATTTGGTATCCTAGAATGCTGTCTTGCCAAAAAAAAAACCCCAAACAACCCAAAACCCAAAAGGCAGCTTTCTCTAAAAGTTTTTTAGGTTTTCTTTTGTTTGTTTGATTTTGGAAACAGAGGCCACCTTGTAGCTTACTACCACCATAGAGAGCATTTTGTTTTTCAGCTAGTGTCATAGTTAGACAATAAATAAGCTTCAGAAATGGAAGACTGCATTTTCCTTTGCCATAAATCAGGAAAGAGTTGAGCTATATCTGGATAAAAAGTGATGAAAGTAACTGAAGAAACTAGCTTTAGCAAGGTATACAGCTAATACAGGTCTTTTCCCCAAAGCAAGTAAATTATGCTTATCTTACATTAGCAGACCATCACTGGAAGTACTATGCCAGACCCTCAGCTGGCATAAATCAACATGACCCTATTCACTTCAGTGCAGCTGTGTTGATTTATGTGAGCTGAAAAGCATGTACTGGTCAAAAAGTGACTATTTCATCTTATAAAACTATAAAAATGACTAAGAAATGAAAAGTTGTAGACATAATATGAAGAAAAAATCAGAAAGGAAAGTACTACAGAAAGGCTCAAAGTAGATTTACTAAGGTTGGTCTAACATAGCCTCTCATTTTACTCCATATGAGATTTTAGATAATATTCTCTGTTGTTACATACACATGTATCTCTTGAGTATGGACTCAAGTATTTGTGCAATTTAATAATGCTCTACTATTCCCAAATTAAGATGTTAAGGCTCAGACAATGGGTTCAACTAACCTGGAATTTATTGTTGGTGTTTTTTTTTAAAGTCACTGTGGCTGTCAGAACATGAAACATCAGACTTAAAAGCAAGCCCACAGAGTGAACTTAAGTGTTCAGATTTGCAGTACTGTGTAACGTCTTAAGAACTACTTCTACTATAGTCTTTCTCTTACAGAGAAAAAGAGCAAGATAAAAGTAAAAAATCAAACAATCTTCTCAAAGCCAGCACTTCTCTCAAGCCTTGGTAATTTTGAGAAATAGGAAACCTCTCATATTAGACCTAAGCACTCTTTACCCTTATGAACTCTGTGTTGACTTCCCTGTTATTATACAGGCTACATGAGATTAACTGCTGGTGCTCCTTTCCAAGTTAAAGATGGGAAGGGTAAGAAGAAGAATCAGTATTCTGAAATAAGAGGTGTACATTCCTAAATACCTTTCTCAGGGATGCGGTTCTTGAGATTAGACCATTTTCATTTTCACGAGGCTTGCGTATCGCTGGCCCAGCAGTATAATATCTGAACACTATATGAAGAGTCATCACGAAGAAAACTCTTCACAATTGTCTGTTTAATTCAGCCCCAGCGACCAGCTGCTAACAGCCACTTGTCAGACAACTGCAATTCATCATCCTTCACCATGGGTACTGGTACTTCGAACGCAAATACTTCTGTATTTGATCACAGTCCACACTCAGGCTGCCAGGTACCATAAAGGCATTCTGTTCATCCTTGCCATTGCCTTACAGCATAACACAGCTTATGGATGCTTGCCTACAAGAAATACTAGGATTTGTCTCTTCACAGTCTTTCCGTGTAAATATGTTCACTGTAGGAAGCTTACAAAAATTTTCAGAGGTATGATTAACACTTCAAACACTGGGAGGGAAAAAAATGCACTGTCTGCCTGGACGGATCAACTCTGCACCTCCACTGCCACAACCCTCTGCCCTCCACTGATTCCCTGGCATTATGTTTTGTGTGGGCAAAATGCACTTAGTATCACTGCCAATGGGGAGTTGTATTGGATCATTTCAGTGTTAACACTAAACCAACTGGAATAATAGTATGCAATATTGGAAAAAAATGTGTATTGGCTTATTTAGATATTTCACATCTCTGAAATCAGTAGATTTTTTAAAAAAGGGCCAAAACATAAGGCATTTTAAAACTTCCATGTGCATTACCATCTTTGCATAGGAATTAGAAATCTCAATTAAATCCTCTTTTCCTCCCAAAGCACCTTTGCAGTCTTCAAAAACATTAGGAAAGTGATGAATGGCTATGAAGAAACCACCTCAAAACTACTTTGCTTCCATTTTTTTCTCTGCATAAATTTTCAAACATTCTCCCATAAAAACACTAAGCAAATGGCACTGGGCTGTGGTTACAATTGCTTTTGTTGCATGTACTCCTGCTAAGGCAAAAGGAGCCAACCGAAACCATTTCTACAGCAAGATTCCCGTTTGCGGCGTAAGGGGCGTAAACCAGCCCCCAGCACATACACACGAGCAGAAGTACAGCCGGAGACTTCAGAGCACAGGCTTGGGTTCTCCACGAGGACATTAAGTGTGTTGAAAAGAGACTTCAGACTGGAAGCTTCATTGCAACAACAAGCACTGAAGTTTCCCTCCAAAATGGCACAAGCCTATAGAGAAGCAGCATAAATGGTGAATATAATTTCCAGCTCATCCTGTAGCTCCTTCGGGTTACTAGAAACCATGTCAGGCTAATATTTGCCATTGCGTATTCCATCATTCTTTATGTTTGTCAGAAGCTTTCGATTGCGTAATGAAAACTCAGAACAATTTGGATGTCAGTTTGTACAGTGCACCAAGAATATATTGCAGTGAACTGTTTAAAATTATTAGGGCTTCTAAATGAAACAATCTAGTGAATTTTATTCCCTTTTGATTTTGAACTTGTACTGTCATCTGCTCCAGTGAAGTGATGCACCAACTTCTACCACCAAGTATTTGATGCATCACTTACTGTAAATGCTGCCTGTAGTGTACTACAAGCTGTCACAGCCGCGGCTGCCAAAGACTGAAATCAATATTTAAATCCTATCGACACTGACTCCTTTTTTCTTTCTTTTTTTTTTTTTAAACAGAGTTGCAATTATGGTTTATTTTATATTTGTAAGCATGATTAAAATTATTATATTCTGTGCCAGGCTATAATTTATATAATTGCATTCCTGTAAAATTTGAATTTATTTTTCATTTAGAAACAGACCACAATAAAAGGCTTCTGCACTGTGAATCCAGTTTTCTGTGTTAATTTAAAATTTAATTTTAGAGTGTTTTCTACAGTCACAGTACTTTAAGGGCTGTCATTGTATAAGAGACTTTTAATCAACTGTGGGCTTGTACTCAAACTAAATACCAATATTAATTGTTTGTAAAGTACTGCAAGAGGAAAAGGGATGGTTAAGTGGAACTTAAGCTGCATTGCTATTAAGGATTAAACAGAAAGGCATTTTAAAGCCATGTGTTGAAAGCCATCTTGTCAGAAGGTATGGGCCATAATCCACAAATTTTCAAAATATACCAGGCTGTACTCATTAGTCATATGAATTTAGGGGGTCTGCCTCCTAATTTGACATTTATATGCAAATAAAAATCTTGAGTACAAGTCACACCTGAAGTTGCCCACCTAATTGTTTAGAAAACATGCCTTTTAATGTGTCATTTGAACATTTTAGCCTCAGCTTATTATCAAGAGGGAAAGAAAACTCAGGGATGTTACGACGTTATTGCAGTCTCTTGAGAGCACTGATACACGAAACCAGGTACACGAGCCTCCCTTCAGCGTCAGAAGGCTACAAAATGGAATGTGATGCTTGAAAGGGAACGCTGCTGCTCTGCAGGCTCTCAGACCGCCACGAGGGCTGCATTAAAGACAGCGAGCAGCCTACGACTCACGACACCCTCCCTACAGAATTTTGGCAAGTTGCAATGAAACCTGTGGATGCATTGTTTCGTTTTTCCGGTCAGATGTACGCAAAGTTGGGAACGGTTTCACACGGATTTTCTAACCTCTCCTGGGGCTTTCGTGATTGAAGAGGATGCCGTTCACAGCAAAGAGTTTGTAGGCCTCTCTGAAGTTCACCACAATCCAGTAGGCATACAGTTTTGCCACCCCTACAAAAATAATTTTAAAGCGTTAGGTACACCCACTCTGCTCGTACGTAGCTCAGACAGACACACGTGTACGTCTCTCTCACGCAGGGTGAAGCCCACATTTCAACAGTGGAGTGCGTTAGAATTTGATTCATTCCCCTATTTGGCATTTTCAAATATCCAGCCAAATAAACAGCAGTTGGACGGGAAAATACTCCTTTTCTGTGCAGCCTCTCAACTGGCCAGAAAGTGTTGGGGCATTTTCTCACGTGGTTGCTTACGCACACATAAGCGTAGCACTTTTTCTTTTACAATATAATTAACACCACCAGAGCGTGTGAAATATGCCACTGTGGTGACCTCTGCTAATAAAAAAAAAATCTACTTTGGAGGAAAAAAAGTGAAAATCTGGTGCCTTAACACTTAAATTGATTTGAAACTTTATCACCAAAGTCCTCCATGCACATTGCTTTAATAGGTGTTTCAAATTTCATGCGAGTTCATGAAGGAAGAAGTGAGCTCCTGGGATTTTTTCATTTAAGCAACAAAAAATATGAAACTTTATCACTTCAGCAGTATCTCACAACTCTTTGTGAAGGAAGAGACACCCTTCCCCCCTCTCTACAAGAGCTCTCTATCTCTGAGCTGAATGAACACGGTCTTGCGAAGTGAGATGCTAATTTCCAACCCTCGGGCAACGGCAGCAAATACTTTTTATATAGTAATTCATAAAGGTATGCCTCTTGACATGTCTAGTCACTTTAGCTCTATCGTCATTCTAATCTCACACCCAGATGACTTCAGCCCCGAGACATGAGCGAGGAGAACAGGCAGACACTACACACACACCATCAGTCATCCTCACCGTAAGGCGATCTTGGGTAAAAAGGGGTGGTCTCCTTTTGTGGGATTTCTTGCACTTTTCCAAAAAGTTCACTGGTGGAGGCTTGGTAGAACTTCACAGAGTTGATAAGGCCGCAGGTCTTAATAGCATCTAGGAGCCGTAAAGTGCCAACCCCATCAACGTCAGCAGTATATTCTGCTAGGTCGAAAGAAATCTTGGGGAGAGAAAGAAATAAAGAAACCCATCAATTTTACTAGGGGAACCAGAACATGCCGTGATCATGTACAACCAAAGTAATACATCACTTGTCACAGACCATCTAGACACTTTTGTACGAAGTAGATGCTCAGTTTACAAAAGTACCCTCAAAGGATTTCTAAGAATAAGCAAGTAGTTCCATAAATAGCAGAACCAAAAGACTGGTGTTTCCTGATCTCTCTCTCTCAGGAATATTTTCCCATGTGAAGTAAGGGGTAAGCCTCCCCGCAGCAGGAGCATTATCAAGCCATCATCTCCACAGCTGCCAATTTGCATGATATTCACTTGGGCTTAATATCTTTGACATTTTAATTTGGTTAAAATTGTCCAAGATGTATTTAAAAAAAAAATAGGTTAGATGGACAGCATGGCTACATAAATGTTTGTTTAAAAAAACCCACAACCTTTAAACACGGCTCAAAGTTTTGCAATTTAAACACACATCAAAATAGAGACAAGACTAGAAATATCTGCTATCAGATAGGACTCCCAAGCCCACCTGATTACGCTGTATCAGAGCTGTAGCTTTTGCACAGAGGTTAGGGGGATGATGAAGTGGGAGAGCAAAGGGTGGAGCTATCCAAAAGAAACTAGCTGTCTCCTCCAGCTGACATATCCTTCAAAATATGATAATAAACTCATGCACGCTGCTGGACCAAGGCTCCCCTTTCTCACCCTGATCCAGTAGTTCTCAGTTATCTTTATGATGAACTTGACCGTGGCATAGGCCACAAGAAAATTTTTTAGTCTAAGATTTCAGAGTGTATTAAAAAATATATTAATTCTATTTCTTGCAGTTGCAGAAGAAAACTAAAAACTGGAAAAACTAAGCTGAAGGTAAGAGAATGTGTTGTGACCACCCCAATCTGCAGGCAGGAGAAAAAATATTCAGAAAGGAGTTCACTCTGCTTGTTTGGTGGGTATGAGCTGGGTGTTTGGATGTGCCAGCAATGCTCCTGGAGTCTGAAGAATTTTCTCCCACTGGTGTACATCACAGAAACGTTCCTCCTTCCTTCTATATCCTCTCTCCAACCCAGGATTTTGCTTCTGTATGTCAGTTTTTAAAAAAAGTTTCCTGTTTATATGGCCAACATCATAAAAGAGGAAAGGGGAATGGACCTTTAGCGCAATCTCCTCCATTGCCCTGACCCAAGGAAGAATTACTCTACCTGTGTCTCCCCGACCAATGACCAACTTTCAGAAATGAGTTCTAGAGTGATGGCAACGTTACAGTCTCTTCCTATGTTCTAGGCTTTAGTGTCTTTATAGGTCCTGGACGTTAGTGAGACACTACCCAAGTCAGATAGTACGAATCTGTGATCGCCCTCTTCATTAGTCTTCAGTGGTAGGTTCGCTGCTAATGGGGTAGAGGGTAAATGACCATAGCTGGCCAAGCCGAGCTATCACAGTGAAATCAGCGGGAAACCTGTCACTTACCAGGTATTCAGACAGATAGCCCTGCATTCATTTATCCTGTCAAGCCACTTTCCCTATTCAGTAATCACTAGAGGCTTAAGGCCTATTTATGCGGCAGATGAAATAAAAATAATTAGATTAATTTGAATTTGCACTTATGGTGAATTTAATACTGGTATGAAGTAATCTAAATTGTGTTACTGTGCTTCAGAATAAAAATGTTCTCACATAGTTTTGCTCTGAAATAGCTAATGGTATGAACAAAACCAAACTTTGCTTTTTTTTTTTTTTTTAACCAAAAGAAAAAAAAAGAAACCTGATACTTTGGCTTGTTAACCTGGTATGACCCAGCTGAAATTGAGCACGGATCTACTGAGAAATGCTGAGCGTTTTTTGTTTGAATCCATTTGGCACAAAGATGACAGCCACTTAAGGTGTCTCAGCTTTGCTGTCAGAGTAACCCTTGGGAAAACATCTTAATGAATAGGTGATATAGTCAACAATGCACTAATGAACATAAATTAGTATATTTACCATGTTGCTAGTACCTTCACATACACAGTAACACAGTAACATCCCAGCTCTCTAAGTAAAGGCAAAACACTTACTAATTGTAGCAGAACCAGGAATACACCTATGTTAAGGTACTGTTTCCAGCAAACCTGCTAAAAACATCACCCCAAAATGCAAATCTTTGCTTACATGTTCTACTACAACAGTAAATGGCACATGTAACTGAGGTGGTCCTAAATCAGAGAACCCAGATTAGAAACCTCTTAAGCAGAGCAAGCAATGAGCCTGCGGCCGCAGCACCGGGAACTGCTCTCCCTGGCTGATGCAGAGACCAGTTTCTCAAGAGACGCTTTTCCCTATTGCCTTATGAATGACCTCAGTCTTCACCTAGAAAAATCACTCCCAGGGGTGTGAGGTAATCCTGCCTCCACGCTGGCCGGGTCTGAGCGTCCCCAAGCAGAATCTGCCAGCTTTGTGCCTGTTTGGTGGTTTTGTAATGCGGACTATTGTTCACCAGGGACACGACTCAGACCACTGAACTAATTTCTTTTTGGAGTGCAGGTTAGACTATAATGGCATTCATGAAAATAAAATTGGTTTTATCCACTAAAACTTCCAACACCAAAAGTGCTGGAATGTTAAGACACTAGTATACACACTAGTTTTTAAATTTAGCTTCCTAAGGTAGATGCTCCATTCTAACCTCAAAAATACTGAACTATCAGTTTCTGTCAACTGCATAAAGCAAGCCATGCAATTTACAACTTTTTTTGAAGACAACACCAGGATTTTTTGTAATGACTGGAGTAGGGAGAAGAAGCTTCTTCGCCTGGCATAAACGTTAAACCTGAAAGTTTTCTCAAAGAGCGTTGAAGGCATGGATCCAATACTTCTTTGCCCTCTTTGGACAGACTTTGTGACAAAGGGAAAGCATGACACACCAACAAAACAGAAATTGTCTACTTGGAACACATTAGTCTGAGTGACCTTGGCACTCCCTTCTCCTGCCTTTTGCAGCTGCCATCACTGATCTCTGGAGATAGTGTGAATGTATACGCTGAAGATATGTCTATTTATTCCATTTGAGAGGTAGTGATAACAGTGTGTCATTAGAAGTGGAGAGAACAATAAGGAGACACTTAAAACCTTGGTCAAAAGTACTTCAGTTCCAGGATTTCAGGTCCTGAACACCTTGCAGAATTGCCTCAAAGAATACTAAAAAGGAATCTAACTCTTTCCGTACATAGGTCTTCTATATACTGAGTATCTTCACTGCTGGATTCATCCCTAATATAGTACATTTCAAATACATTCTTGGGCAAGTAAAAATTTCCACAGCAAGGCTTACCCATAGGATGATAAAATTTTCTTGGGAAAAGCATAGTTTCATTATCTGTAATATACCCGGAATCACAGGACACTATACGAATACACTGAACCACATTATGTCTCTTTCACGCGGCTCCAAGAATTGCAATTGAGTTTTGTGAACTGGTTTTTACCTTTTGAATTTGAACTCTTGTTCCATCTCCCCATTTCTTTCTTTCTTTCTAATCACCAGATTCAATCTGTACAAGAGATTTGAATTTAATAGAGCAATGTTTTAAATATGGTGTTTCCCAACTGATCGTTCAAAGCTAAGCTTAGCAAGGTCTTCAACAAGATTTAAAAGCTTAGTGGAAACTATCTAAATGAAAACATATGGGTCTTACCCTCCACAAGAACACATTCCTATCACGTCTATGAGTACTATATACAAGCCTGCAGACTTAATACTCGCTTCTGACCAATGCATTGTCAACAGTGGTGATATTCTGAAAATAAGTACCAATTTAGCATACACACAGGTTTGGCTTTGTGAGATACTTCATCTGTGCAGATGATGCTCTACCTAAGGAATATAAATAATGATTTGGAATTTCATCTCCTTCTTACAGCCTTCTCAGTTTCAGAAGATGGGATTTCTAGAAGGCTAGTGTTACAAGAAGGAAGCTTATATGAAGCCCCAGGAGGAAATAGGATAATATAAGTGTAAATTATTATTCTTTCACTGTAAAAGCAAAGGTGGCTAACCTAAGTGTAACATTAAAATAAGTATCTTGGCTCTCTTGAAAAAACTTACAGTAGATTCTTTAGATTTATCAGAGTAGAAAATACGTACCAGGTCTCTTTAAGCATTCAGAAAGGTTTACACCTGAGAAGCAAATCACAAAGCAGAAAAACTGCTCAGAAATATTTCAAGTCTCACAAGTTTCACAGTGGTTACTTTTTTGTATTCTTTAAAATCAATTCTGTTTGCTTTGAATATTCAGTGTGCCTTCCACTGCCAATAAAAACCACTGGAATCACTTATATCATCTCAGTAAACAAACTGCTCAACCCCTAGGAACAGGCATTTAAAGCATAACATTCCAGTTGCTAAATCTAATACAGACTATGGGCCAAGCATTCCTATAAAGTCCTAACACACTGGGGAAAAAAATCCTAGGGATTTTAGGAAATCTAAAGAGTTTGGGGGAGCTGGGTGGTGTCAAGAGGATGAGAAGAACTTAAATATCTACAAAAATCTCGGGTAACTTTCTAGGAGAATATTACAATTCCTCTTCCCTCCAGCCCCTTAATTCATAACGAAGGGTTAACTCATTGCCCTCTCACCCAATAAAAGAAGTAGTTGAAAGACACCAAGATCTATATATTTTTTGTTATATAGAAAAATAATCAATTCAATAGCTCTGAACTGCTTATTATTTAGCAACACTCTTCGTACCTTAAAGTATTATTCAACTTCTTAGCCAAATAGAAATTGACTGAAAAAAACAATGACTGAAATTCTGGATAAATGGAATATGCCTTTTGTCGATTTATCTTCTTTCCTTTTTCTTTCCCTGTTCTCTCATTAATAAAACAGAAAAAATAAAGTGATCTGTATAAAATTAGAGTAATTTGACAACATGATTATAAGCAGAGAATTAGCAAGGAAAACTTCTGTAAGTGGAAGCAGAAGTCAACATTTTTTCCTAAAGTTCA